TGCGAATATTGTCAGGTCATTAATTACAATGATGAGAAAAAACGGTTTTGGAGAAGAATTTGACAGCGGTCATCAGGGCTCTACCTCCCTGTCTTACGCGCCAAAAACGTAAAAGAAATTCGGCGTTTTCGTTCGACAAAAGCAGGCTAGTTTGGAAAGAAACTGACACACATATGATTGAATTGCTCTCAGCGGATACTAATTACCAGAGATTGTAACTACGAATTTCGTATGCAATACCTTAGGCACAGTTTATAAAACCTTGCAAAAACTTGTTAAGAATTTGATCAACGAATCGGCTTTCAGATCCAATGTTTCCTTCATGATAAACGAGTTGCGAAGTCAAAAATGTAACCAAAAGCGAGACTTATCTGTAAGGCCTCAACTGCGTGTCTGCTCACTTTCAAAACCGATTATAACCTTAAAATGTATTCAAAAATCTCATTCATTTTAAAACTATACAGAAATGGCTGAACGGAAGGAGGAGGAGGAGGTGAGGCTGCGGGTTGCCAAGTCTTTAATTTCACACGGTGGTGCTAAATCCCGACTTATTTGTCGGAGGTGTTGTTGGCACCGCAGTACCAAACGTGGAAGAGGGTTCTTCAGCAAACTCCACATGTTTTGGTTTGAGCGTTGAATTCTTTGAAGTTGGTGTGAAAGGGTGGAGTTTGATTGTCCTTGTTGTCCGCACTGTGGGACTCAGTGGTGTCTCGGTATGGCTTGAGTCATTAGTAGACGAACTCAACGATGCTAGCACATTGCCGTGCTTAGGGTAGAGCACATAATCTGCCGAATTCGGTGCGGTTGTCTCTTTAACCAACACTAAAGGGGAATATGCTGTAGATGTTGTCATCACCTCGGGCATTTGTGAACTCGACATAGGCTCAGTGTCCCTGTAACCAGCTGTTTTTTTGTCAAGGGTGTTAAACCTTGGACTTCCTGAGTCAAAAGTCTTTCCATTTACAATAAATGGGGAAGAGGTTTTTGGCATTCCATGAACCGGACAACTGGCAGAAAGATCCATACTACTATGATCCATGATACTACTAGCAAATGAGGCTTATAAGTAGTTAATCTGACGTGACGAACCTGAGGAAACCAAAATCATGTTGATGCTTTATTCGCTCATAATATTTCGCCATAAGACTTGTGAACATTAAACCATGTATATTTTACCTGCAATCAAATAGTCAGACGTTGCGTTCATAGTCTAATAGGTTCAGTTAATTTCCTTATCTCCATCTAACCTCCGTTTCACAGTGAATGACATCACGTCGCGGCAAGAGTTAAGTCAGCTTGATCGTATGCTCATCCTACACTGCAGGTGTTTCGGTCCAGTGAAGGTCAACCAGAATCCTGGTCAGTTTCACTACGAATATCATATCTAGAGACACTGATATCATAGAATGTGTTCCTCTGATGCTCCCTCCGCATCAAAGGTCCTCGAACCAATTGCGGCCCACGCACGATTCAGGTGGTGTGCTAGTCAAATCAACCACCTTACGCGGTTACCACACAAAGATGCCACTCAGAACGAATGAACCATTTAGAAGCCGCAAACACGGGTTTCACACGGTTCCTTAGGATAAGCACGAAATGATGGGCGACAGGCTCGGGTGTGCGATAAATGAAAGACGATACCGTCACGTAAGAGCACTGCAATTTACTAGCCAAGACGAGAAATACAAAAATACAAGTGCGTGCAGCTAAGTCTAGTCTTTGGTAAACACAAGACATGTAGTCAAACAGAAACAAAGCTCATCTCTTATTCAAGGAATGTCGGAAGTGTCGCCTACGAGTAAGCATGTCCCTATTGTCAGTGTGGAAAGAGAGAGAGAGGGAGAGAGAGCGAGACCGAGCCTAATTAGTGTTGGATTCACACAAGGGGAGATTCCTCGACTACGGGCCCAACAGACTCCGTTTCGGCCATGCTGGCGGAGTGGTTGGTTGTACTAGTGGTGGAAGGCAACTCGGAGAACTGCGGAGGAAGAGATCGGGGGTCGGGCCGGATCATGACAATGAGACCCTTCGTGGTGCCGTAGGTGATGCCGTGGGGGTGCCACACGATGCTATTCAGCGATATCCCCGTGCCATTTGGCTCGAGGCCCATCAACAGGACGGAACGGTGATGCTGGTCGATCGATTCAGCGTCCGGCATGTCTTCCAAACGCGGATTTGGCAGGTTCTTCACATGTGTCAAACCACGCTGAACTTCTGTCGGATTGTGCTGACGATCGACTTTGAAGATGTGGGCTGGAAATTTAAGTACAGAGAGCGTTCAAATCTACCTGTTGAAGTGTTTTGTCAACTGGATCGGACTCAACAGTAAAAGTGCAATTCGAGAGCTAAAGACCACCTAATTGAGACAAATACCTGCCGAACTCTAAACGTGAACATCCGACCAACTCTTGGTAGAATTCAGATGCATCGATTACTGCCGTTTGCCCTTTTGGCAAGAAGCTAGACAGTTCGCCATCATGAGATCGGTGTCAAATGCAACTTAAAAACCAACGGCTCCAGGCTTTCAAACAGCCAGCGCCTAAGACTAGGTCATTGTTCCGATGTTTCCGGGGTGAGGTTAATTCGAATAGCTCACCGACGCATGGTGGAGGGCCGGAGTTAGAAAGAGCTCGGAGGATGTGGTCGATGGGGCTGGGAGTACTAGGAAGTCGACAGGAAGCCAGTCCCACGACGAGGTGTTCAGCCGAGGGAGAAAAGTCTACACAAACGGGGTTCGAAGAACGATGGAGTTTTTGCATGAAGACACACTGACCACGACGATCTTCGGGTTGTAAGCGGTACACGGCTACGATGCCTTCCAGATACTGCAACGAAAATTTGGCATTCAAGCTGAAGAGACAAGACTTAAGTACGTCCAGTTTTAACGGTGGGTCACAAGGTGAAGAAAACGGAATTTTCTGTCAATAATTAAGCTAGGTTCAAACAAGAAGAGCTCGATGTGTCATGCTATTCGCAAAAATTAGGCAGCACTAGTCAGCAAATACTCAAGTCATTCATGAGACAGTTCTGACTAGGTTAACTACAGCGAATTGATTGCAACTTAAGTGTTGGTTCTGAGGCAAAGAGCACCCACACGCTTCCCCTGAACCCATGTGGTATTTGCAGTAGCGCCGAAACACGGACCCTTCAGTGTGTAGGGACGCGAACGAATCCGCAAGGCATAAGTCTCATGAGTGGGATTTAACTCACTGCCAGAGATGGCCACCAGTAATACCATAATACGGTTATGATACAGCGACTTGATCAGTTTCAGGGAGTGCCAACACATGTGCCCTACCTCATTTTCAGAGCACTTGTTATCACCAACTGGAACCACGAAGGCAGCAAGAAGACGACCATCGGGAGAAAGGCAGACCGAGGAGTCGTTGAAGACGCGCACTCGAGGAGCCACGAGGTTGCTCTTGAGGTAGGAGATGGGGAGGTTAGCCGGCAGACAAAAGCCTCCCTCCTCATTTTCCTGCTCCTCTGTGGACTGCCCCTCTTCAAATCCACCAAACCTCAGCTCCCATCGACAGATCCTGAACGTCGTGTCCTGCAGTTAGATCAAGGCGTTAAAGGCTAGTAACTACAAACCTGGTCTTTGAAAGGCCAATGACACCAAACCTCACTTTGGTGTGGGGGTCTCAAAAACAGGGGACATGGAGCCCGGATCACACTAAGCTTAGGATAGCACCATAGCAGCACAGACTCCGCATAACCTCTTGTTAGCCACATCGACACCCGCAAACGACGCGAGAGAACTACCTTGTAGCAAGCTCAATTGTAGATTCACGTGGCCAAAAACAGTAAGGTAATTTAGTTTACCGCTTTTAAAATCTTAACGGTTCGAATAGGACGAAACAGGCCTCCGTCAAAGTGTTGTGTAACGCTTCGTCAATGGGCATGGCAATCTGGAAGCAATGGGGTTATTCTATGCGCGGCTTGCCAAAACTGCATAGAATAATGTCACCGTTGAATTTAGCTTTACCAAACCATCAATTCCGTAAACCACGCCAAAAATTCACCGCAGTGGGACCACCTGTCCCCACTGTTCCGCCACACAAGTGGACAACTAGTCGCGGAGGTTCAGCATCAGACCGTGCTTAATTTTACTGAGGTTGACCTTAGCAACAGCGGCACGTGACCGCCAAAAATTAGATGGTGGGCCAGCGTCGGTGTTGCCAGCATATGGTGTGATAATGAGCATAGCAAAAGCGCGGGTGGTAAGACATTGCTTCAAATAAAAATGTGTGCATCATTAAATTACAATTATTATTATCACCACCACCACCACCATTACTCCAGCTCAATGCATTAAAACGCATTTGCAAACGCGTTAAATGAGCAAGGTGGTTTAAATATTACTTTAGCAAATACATCTAGCATGACTCGGTTACATTTGCCAACAATGGCGGCAATGATTTCTAGCATATGCGTACTCCAACCACGGGAAAGCAGACTCGAGATGAGTTAAAATTCACGCAAATGGATCGCTTCTGCTACTTTTACCGGTTTCACCATGTCTCAGTAAAATTGGGGAAAGGCATTGCCTCTTGAGCCCCAAAAGCGGGCACAACTTGACCTCACACTTAGGAGAACCTGATTTTGCCAATAAACGAGCGGAAACATCACCAGGTGCCCAATCGCAAACAGCGTTAACACGGTGGGCGCTGAGAGGCACTGGAGCAAGGTCTGGGCCAACCCAAGAGCACTGAAGGGCAGCGAAAACTCACGCTAATGTAGGACGCCGAGCTGTGCTCGCCGATGTTGGCGAACATGCCGGCCATGATGTCAGAGATGTTCTCGTGAACGGACCGCAGGACGGTGAAAAACACCGCATCCGAGTGGGGATCCTCGAAGAAGCCCGGTAAGAACAGCAGACGGGAGCCCATGGTGCGAAATCGACCGTTCGAGATGAGATCCACTGGCCGGGTTTTCCGGACCAAACCACCGCAGTTGCAACAGGCAGCGACATCTGTCGGGTGATGGGGAGAGGGAGATGAGATAGCAACAATAGCCGTTACTACCAAATGCCAGCTGCCGTGTCATTGCACTCCACACACACATACACGCACGCACACCCTTGTACTATTAAAGTGTTGTTTTTTTCAGGTCAATGAGTACTGCTTCTAAGCGCAACGATTCGTGGAATGCTCAGCAGTGCTTTTCCATGATTTGCATTTGTTGGAAGGGGCAAATACCCAAGCCGCTCAGTACTCAGATATGAAACATGGCAGATGGTAGATTCCATCAGTGGTGAAATTCACGAGAATGGCAGTTTGGCGGCAGATAGTGATCTTTAAAGTCAACCATCGCTACTTGGTGGCCGAAAATTAGCACAATGCAAGTACCTCGTTAGGGAACTGTAACATTTATTATGTTAATCTGACTTGCTACTGGTGTTTTACTCTTAAGACTCGTTCGCTGAGGGCTTCTATGAATGTGCACGCCAACACGCTTTCCTGTCTACACGCACTCTTAGTTGATGTTTACCTTTGGGTAATACATTTTGCCTTCTGTTCAAGTAATCGATTTTGGTGTGTCTAAGTCACCACGGGAGCTTTTGGTTACGAAGCGTCAAAGTTAGAGTATGGCTCAATGTAGAAACGGAGTAGCTCACCTTGGTCCACACGAAAACGCATCGTAGAGTGAGTACTCGATTTGAAGACGTACATTCTAGGGTTATTTTGCAAAAAAGAACCGCATTTTCACGACATAAAATCAAAAGCTTTGTCATAAAAGTAGACTTTAAAACGCGACCTGTCTTGGCGTGTTCATGCTTCAGTAAGTTTCTATTTAGTAATAATCACCAGATCTGATCCAAGATTGGCCAGAATTAAAACCACACGGGACAAGCTAGTTGCGTACTGCGACTGGCTTTTGTAATTTGTTCTAAAATAGCCTTTGTCACAATGCCTTACCTCGATTCGTATTTCATTAATGCGAGACCTGCAAGCTTTTTTGACGATACAAGTCAACCGAGTACAGTTGGAGTTAGTGGTGATAACTAGGCATGACATTACAATCATTAACATGAAGTTAGGAAAACATGCGTGCGTGTTAAATTTGTAAATGTATTTGATTACCAATTGGCCGCCAGTTTTATGCTGACCATACAAACTAGAGAAGGAACATCACCGGTCAAATTGGAGCTACGCCATGGGGTTAATCTATCCAGAGTGTGACTTGATCACTCAATCATGCTCACACACACACACACCTGACCCTCAACGACCGTCCAATTTCCATGAAACCGCCGTTTGCAAACACGTTAACACAGGTTTAACACGACACCACGTCGAGTAAAGCCAAGGGTGTTTTTACGAGTAGAGAGAATAACTACTAAAACCAACAGATCGACAGAGTTTGGAGAGGCCGGCATGCACAAAACGGGCTGAACACGTTGTACGTGGTTACATGAACATATTTGAACAGCTTAAGATCATGTGGTCGGGGAGTGAATGCCTTGTGGCATTAGCCCGTCCAAAAAAAGCTCAGTGCTTAGTTCTACTCAGTAGTAAGACTTTAATGTTTAAAAAAAATAGACGTGTAATCATGAACACTAGGGCGTTTGTAATTTACACCCGAATCCACGAGACGTGAAGGTGCTTAAAGATAACTCTGAAACCGAAATAATTCATCTAATTAAATAATAAGTAATCTTTACGCCACATTGAGCAGAACAGCTCTACCGAGGTTCGGTGTACATTTTCGAGCTAACGTCACATGCCATGTCAACGGTCAAGTTTGCAATGTCGGTTGTTTGACACCAACAATGTCGAAAATTGGAAGGGCACGTAACTCGAGCGGTCACGTGATCTCGTAAGCTTAGTAATAGGCCTTTAGTTGCTACAGGGCCGCAACGTGACTGCAGGCAGAGCAACTCGAAGGCGAACCACAAGACTTCGCTTGAAGATGAAGAAGAAGAAGAACGCGGCCAAGCCACAACTTGGCCCCAAGTTGGCAAATACCCATGGTACTTCACGCAGAAATATTCTGAGAGCATTACACATTTCTATATCAGATGGTTAACCCCTCCCTCCGCACCAAGTAGAGCCTTGCATAGGTTCAGTCACGAGTGGCCGTCAATCGAAATGACCAGACAATAGTACTCAGGAGGTATTTAAGCTACCTCGAGGAAAAATCAAAGATTATTTGGTGTAACCTGTGCTAAGACGCCAATCAAATCTGGGACTGGATTCATTTTGATAGTGAACCCAATGCGAAACGGGATACAAACAGCCCACAAAAAAACCACAAATACAAGTGCTCCTCTAGAAGTGTCACATGTGATTTTAGCGCGCCTCACGCGTTTTATCACGTTTTTCAAAACGAATGTAGTATCGACTACGCAAATTCGATCGCTCATTCGCGTGACCCTTTGACCGCGGGAGGAGTTTACGAGTGACGCCAGCCCCCTTCACTGCATGAATGGATTTGTACGCGTTTACGTGCGTAAGGTCATTACGTGTGTGTGTGTGTGTGTTGGAAGGGCTGGTCGTGTGAGACGTGCGCAGTCATCGTCAAGTCAGCAACGCTAGCAGGGACTACGTAATTACATCAAGAGCGACTGGACAACGCGTCGCCGTTAATCCCCGTTTTATACGGTGAAGGCATCTCTGAATGGAGATGTGTCTTCAGTTGAGACGATTGTAAAAACCGAGCGAATCAACAGCGTCTCAGAATGTGTCTGCATTGGTTTCCCCCACGAGCCGAGATGTTGAATCTGCAAAATTGGTCCGAATCGTCAATCCACGAAGAAGCATTAAGCATCATGCCGAACCAGCAAAAACGGAATGAAATAGAAGATAAATGGCCGGAAACAGCAGCACCAATATCATCCCAATTACACAGAACTGTGAGCCTAGCCTAGCTTGACGCCAGAGCATAATACAGAAACGTAAAACGATGCCAAAGGAGGTAGAGGCCATTATTCAACGCAAGTAAAGAGTGGATTGGTGAAGAGCAGTTAGTTATATTGTCAGGAGGTAGGTCTTCGATCTGTTAAGTAACGACTATGCACTTCAGTGTATGAAAAGGGGAGAACGTACTGTGGTAAGTAAATTGAACTGCTCCAGGGCCCTTTGGAACCCAGTCGGATGGGCTGCTGAATGGTTCACTAAACGGTGCGCGTACCTCGTTGGCAGAACGAAGTAGAGAGGTGAGGAAGGACGCGTCAATTCCACGGTTTGTGGGAGTGCTTGAATCACGTGAAGGCTGCTCATTGGTTCTGAAATTCGGTCTGAGGTCTTGAGGACAGGAGTACTAAAGCAGAATGACCGCCGGAAAATGATCAGTAGAATAATCTTACCACTGAGCGGGATAAAAAAAGTGAACAACTGCGAATTACTGGACACCTTATTGCAGCTAATGCCAATTACTGACAAAACATCATCCTTTTCCACATGAATTGACTTCTGGATGCATTCATCCCTTACTCTTCGTCTTCCTAGCGTAAAATTTGATCTAAGAGGTCAATAAGTAGGTTGCACAAGAAGTGCCTCAGTATTGTTACTTATATAACTTGTGAAAGGTGAAAGCAATAAGCATACTGACGAATTGCTATTCGCTACAAATGGAGTGGAAACTTCAGGAAGGTGCTCAATTTCGGAATGGTGGGAAACCGACAATATTTGTCAGTTTACTAAAACCAAAACTCCTCAGCCGTCTTTTGTGGGACATCTTGAGACACATCCTCACCTGGAGACGGTCAAGTCAGCGGCATAAGGGTGAATCAAGACACGCGTGTAGGGCTCAATCAATACGTCTTGCGCTCGCGCACACACACCCACGCACTATGGCGACCCAGTGGAGGTGCGCGCGCGGAGGCAAGTCCGCTGCAAGCGCTAGGGGGACGGGTGCACAGCGCGACAGGTCTTCAGGTCAAAAGTGTGCACGCGGTGCGCGAAGGCGTCTAGGACGCATCAACGCAGGCGCTGAGACAGCCTCGGTGGCTGGCGTGAAAAGTCGGGAAGTGGTTTAGCGTCCGACTTCCTCACTCACTCCCAGCGCATGCTTGTCGTAACTAGGCTGTGTTGAGCCCAACAGCTAGCGGTTTAAATTGCCGTGATATAGAACTCTCAAAAACAGCACCACACAAAGACCATGAAGTTACCGATCGTCAAAGAACCAAAAAAATACACAGCAGGTACTCCTGACTCTACGGATCGAATATTTAGGTCATGTATGCTACGTGCTAGATTTCGTGTGCTTTTTTTGCTAATCCAGGGTCGTTCGATGAGTGAAATCATGCAACGCGTGGTAGATAAGAAACAACACTGAATGATCGCGTTTCACATACGTCGAATTTCCGCTTAATTCCTCGACCAAGGCTTGCTGTATCCGTTACAGCGCCCCTGGAAGACTCAACGGGTAAGCTCATTTGTTGTCTGGTTTGGATTTCGGTTAGGCGACCTAAGATCTCTGTGGTTGCAGCATTACTTTCAAGTCTGGCAACCTTTGAAGCTGGCTGGGTCGGAGATGTTACCTTGTTTTCACTGATTGATGTGTTCTGATTTCCGCTCAGATTTGTAGCGTGGTCATTGTTTGCTTTAACTGACTTCGGATGAAGCTGGTCATTGCATCGTTGGCATACTCCTATGGAATCGTCGACGCTTGAACAAGTAGTCTACGTGAAAAATGCACAAGACGATAGCGTAAACTCTAGTTTAAAGCACGATTTACTATTAAAGAGCACAATTTCGGAGTCTGTGAACAATTTCACTGACCCTAATTTCATATTCAATTTTGGCGCGCGGGTCGATGGCAAAATTAGTTACTAACAAGGTCAAACGGGTAACACACTCAAACAAACCTTTAATAAGAGAACTGCTGGAATTTAATCCGACTCCTTTTTTTAATCAGCCTTAGTGATAACCAGAATATGAACCTTATGAAAGTATCACCACTGCACAAGATGGCGAAAGCAAGTCTTATGACCAGCAAAACCTCACACACGGAACAATCGACTTACGCATGATGGCGAATCGAGACTCACTTCATTGTCTTCCACTTCCTCTTGTGGCGAAGTGGTCCCCTTGGTGTAAGACCAGGTCCACCAGTCAACACGACCACTTTCATTTGCCCACCGCCAAAACACCTGGAGACATGGCCTGCACATCGAGTGTTGCAGGAGTTCTCGATATGTAGCAACAAGATCGCGGGTGTGGCCAGGACAACACAGGAGCGAATGTCCTTCGGTTTTGCAGTAGGAGTCTTCGACTCCAGACGAGAAGAGCCAATCTCTGGCCGGCATGTCTTCGATCACGGCGACAGCAGAGGGGTGGGGATCCCTCGAGTGTGTTTGGAGCACTTCGCGCGCGACCCAATAGTCATTGCAGAGTGGTGTGGCTACCGCTATCAGAGTCGACATTACAGTTTTTGAAGAAGGCGGGTGACGATGCGGAAAAGAAGGATTCGCGATCAGACCAGCTGCCCAGACACATAATCGATATGCACATGTCCAACAAATGCCCATTACACGGAACCACGCATCTGGACGTGTTAGAAGGTAGCGCAGTAGCTCACCACGCGGTACACCGGGGTCTAAACACAGTAAGACCAATATTATGTACTAAATAAGCGGATAAGCTTGGAACCGGAAAGAGATCCGACTGACCCTCAGGATCGGTCACATTGACAGAGTGTGGAGTTACCGCTGCTATGTCGTCGGAGAGCCGTGGGTTCGCGGTAGCAGTATACAGCAGGGATCCGTCGGGACTGAATTGCACCCACCGGACACGTGATTGCTCCGAAGAGAACCGCCAAGTGGACAGTGTTGTCCCAGTCTTCCAATTAAGAAACGCAACTTCCTGGGCCCTACAATCAAAACAGCAGTCAGTAAAAATTGTCAAAGTAAATCACCTGTAATGACAAAACATAGATGCTGTTCCATACCAACAAAATATGCCTCTGAATAGGACAAAGATAAAGAGGGTGTAGAATAAGGGAATTGAAGTCAAAAGAATAAAGCATCCAAATATTTCCAATTAGTTGGATCTACAAACAATCAACATGAAGCAATAGAAGATTCTCCTAGCATTTGATTCGACGACTAGCTATATTTTTCTTGATGATAAAAGCCTTTTACTATCTTTAATTCACTCCATTTCACTCAATGTTTTATCACAGAATGTTCTCGTTATTTTGGGGTTTCCAAAGCCACATATTGCTGGAATATTTACTCTAAAAATCATTTAAGAATAACATTTAAGTGGGAGAACACTTAAATAAAGTGTCTCGATGGACAGTTACATTTAAGGATTACCAATACTAATATCTCAGGATTTTATTTCGACAAAATGGGTCTAGCTTGCAATACTTACCACACTGCGACTAGAATTGGATGCCGCGGGTGAAAACTCAGAGACGAGATAGCACCAGATTGGTTCCAGACGTGAATCGGAGTAATTCGAGGAGAGCTCATTGAAGCAGGCTTGCAGGACTTGTTTTCTACAGCTCCACTGATATCCCACAGACGTATACCACCACCCAGGCAGCCACTTGCGAGGGTGTACGGTTCTTCAGGATGGAACTGAAATAAAGCAAATGATAAATCTTTTGCCTAAACCGTTAACATGTAAACAGTAAAAGCTACAAGAGCACAGCGAAAGATTCTCCCAATTGCACGAAAGTTATGCTCAATCCAACTAAGCTAGATTTGATATTATATATTTGTTTCGAGTAGTAACAATGGGCTGTTGCAAAGAAACAGACGATTTAATAAACCTCGCTATAGCAAGCCTAAGAATTCCCATCCAAAGCAGAGATTTACTTGGTTGTCTCTCATTTACCGAAATACGAAACCAGAAAATTTCAATTCCACGAAAATATTCCAATGTTCTTAAAAAGTTAGGGTGTGAAAACATCTAATATATAAAAACAAGATACCTGCTTAATAAGATTACACTGTCAAAATTGTTACTGATGCGATTAAGCTCGAAAAACACTGGACCACCTGTGTGAAATTTTGTGGAATATCGGTAAATTTGATTTCTTTTCAAGCCAGTGAGTTAGAACACGCGGATCCGCCTATCGAGCTTTCATGTATTGCTTCATTTAGTGTATTTGAGGTTACAACCTACGCAAATTCACAGGACAATAAAATAATATTAAGATGCATGCATCTTTGTATCTGAAAAACAGAACATGACCTAAATATTACGAATGAGTACATAGAATTTAGGTTTTGATAACTTTAAACCCTGATTCCATACAAGATCTCTCGCATGTAAATAAAACCTTGGTAGAATTACAAAGCGAACATGAAACGCTTGAATTAAACATTCATCATTAACTACACTATGTTCAGGATAATTATAATTGTAGGCTTAAGTAGTAAAAAAGGCTCAGAGAAAGTATTCGCTTAAACAAAAATTTAGGCCACAACATAAACTCACCGCAAGTGTCCAAGGTGAATGAGCATGGTCATCACACGAAGCCAAAAATACACCTGTAGAGGCTGAATACAGCGCAACATGACGATCTGCATGCGCCGCAGCAATAATCGTATTGTTCGCATTTATTTTCAACAAGAATGTTGACGGTGTAGAATATAGTGTTTCTGCAAGAAAAGGACTTGAGGATTCCAAAGTCAAACGCTCAGCAACACTATATCTTGCACACTTTGGAAGCCTTCCAAGCTCATGCTTTTGTAAAAAGTTTACGAGATATGCCATGTCGATTATAAATAATAAACAAAGGCCAAGGACTGCCAACCAGAGCTGTACATACGCACAAAAGCTCCGAAAACTAATTTCATAAACACTGTTAAGGACATATAAGTTGACACAATTCATTAAAACAAATAAAAGTTGCAAAAAAAAAGTTAAATCAAAACGCTATTTTGCTATCAGCGCTCTTAAGCCGCGATTTTTTACAAAACATTCAAATGAATAAAAACCTATCATTGCATTGCATAATGAACCAGGTCCTGTCTCAAAAGTCAGGACGCATTTGGTAATATTTCGTTTATCGGTGTACATTGCTAATTGAATAATTTCTCATGACAGTCACTACATTGGATAATTTTAAATTTTTTAAATGATTAGAGTGACAAAACTGGGCAAATTTATTCTTTAAATAAGTTTACTTCTACCTCGTGTGTGTAAATATTTTGCAAAAAAGAAACCTTTTTTATGTAACAATAGTGAAAAAATTTGAGCAAGAACTTGTTTCAAAACAGCTCCAAAGCTCAATTACACCTAGCTCTATAATTAAGACCTATTATGAACCCAATGTTTTCGATAGTTTGAAAATCTTATCTTAATAACTCATTAAATTCACGATCAATAACACTTGAAGATTATCGTGACGCCCTGGATTGTTTAAAATTGCAACGTTAATGCTTTCCTGAGTAACGTGCGATCCGAAGATAGCCTAAATGGATAATCGCATGATATTGTTAATGAAGAAAGCAAAATGCTGCGTAAAGTGAGTAAGAAAATATTTTGGTTGTATAATTAATATTTCACAGCTGAGACAAGGGAGAAAATTAATGAATAAAGATTCATTGTGTAATTATCCATGAGAAAATAAAAAAGGATTAAGATTATTTTAGGAAGGAGTTCTAGGGCAATAAAACTCAGTGCTTTATTTTATCAGACTGATTTCACCTAATTCTGAAGCACTGGTATTGTATAAAAAATGTAAATTATCACAAGGAAATTTCAATGCGCGATGAAGTAGATAGTGATTTTTTGCGTTTTGGCTCTTAAGCATTTAGTTAAATGTCCTGAAATAATCTTATAACCTCTTACCTTATTCATTTGCAAAGATGACTGGACATTTACCTCCAACTTTCCTTCAGCTTTTAAAGTGTTTTGATCTACTTGTATATTTCAACACTAATCTTTTTTTAGGATTCAGCCTACTTTAAAATAATTGACATGCAAACTGTCATTGCTGCATTAGTTGATCAGCAAAACCTGTGTGGCTTTAACAGGTTTTTATGAGATTTGCAAAACAAGGTAAAATGAGTGGCCTTGCTTAAATACTGTAATCAGACTTAGTAGTTCTGTGACAGTGGCATTGTTCAACAGTGTTTGAACCATCATATGGGACAAGATTGTTAATAGGTACTTAACAGTTTACGTGCGCATATAAGTACCATTTGTAATCACTGGCTAACCGTTCAACAAACGGAATTATTATTACCATTAGTATTATAAATTATGGGCTCGTACCGTGGTTGGCAATTCAGAAATTAAACGTTAAGGCGGCAACAGGGTTGTTATGTTTCGATGCCTAATTGACGAACCAGTCTGATGTGCTAGAAACGGAAATACAAAAAGCTTTTGCATATGAGAAAGGTGTTATGAAAAATCCACTATTGTTGACTGAAACTTGTAGGTTTCAAGTAAACGTTTTTAATTTTTTTTTCGGAAATGATTTGTGCTTTTATCTATTGGCAAAATCCCAATATCCTACTATTGATCAATGTTACCGTGGAACATCGAGTCTATGGTGCATAAAACTTAGTCTGCATATAACTTATTAGGGGCAAATAACGTTAGCAAAATTCATTTAGAACACTTATTCTTGGAAATGAAGTTTTTAAACTCTTTGCTGATTTTTACAATAAACAGCTGAATACTTGGCAGATCTGGAAATGTGGTTAACGCAAAGATTTGCATATAAATGTCATTTTTAGGTAATAAATTTTAGATTAAATGAAAAGAATGAACGCAGTTTTTCGAAAGCGGATTTGAAATTTGCTTTTGAGCGCCATCGTATTAATACATTATCTTATAAACGCGCGTGGTTCAATTTACAGGCGAACTTTGTTGTCGTATTGTGTCCAACAGTATAGAGATGGGTGTTCTTCAAGGTGGAATGAAGTGCTTGAAGTACTGCACATTCTTTTTTAACTTTATTGTCTTTGTACGTAAGTTTTGCTTATCATGTACATGCCATCAATCCATATTCTAATGTCATCATTTTTACAAATTGATTAACTGTTGTGTTGTATGTCTTCACACTATTTTTATGACCCAAAGGCCCTACCCCCTTGCTATGACTTTTTTATTGGTGGTAATTGTGCTCTTGGACTTTTAGTTGTTCAATGGTATTGAAGATTATGGTGTCGAAATGGGTTTATGCGGACTAATATTGTTTCGTCATATATCTGCCAAATTAGTGTTGTAATTCAGCAGCAATGCACCAAATTCCACTTGTGTAATCAGATTTTCAGCCCATCATGTATTTTTGTTGCGTACATCAAACTGCTGTAATTGGTCTTATACCTTAGTGGTTTTGTCAAAAAATTTTGATATCGTCGTTGTAAGCCGATAACTCAAATTGGCCTGATGTGTTACGGGAAATGCAATCAGTGATTGTGTTTGTTAATATTTCAAACCTGGGGTATCCTTTCGATCAATGATACGTGGTGGTGTTGATAACAAACTACTCCTTTTGAGGTCAAGCCTTATTGTCGTGGATGGGCGCTTTTCCATGTAGTCATCCTATCGTGCTTTTCTTCCCCAAGACGCTATTTCCTTGTATGTTGAGCGGCCTTTACGACAACATTTGCATCAAATAGGTTGGATGGATGGAAAATAGCTGTACATTATTTTTCTTCATGCACATTGCAGGCCTTGAAATTACACACGACTTATTTTATTCCCAAGGTATTTGGACTCTTTTTGGCTGGATTCGGTGGGTATCTACTCTACCAACTCACCTTCTACACTAACCAAATTGGCGATGTGACCAAGATATTCCCCGTTGCTGTTATTGTGTTGGGGTTCGTTATTTTCTTCGTCGGATTTCTCGGTTGCTGTGGCGCCTGCTACGAGAGTCCCTGCATGCTAATAACGGTACTTTCTATTCTGCATGTCAAGCGTACATTTACTTAATAATTGCAGATTGCACCCCAACGCAAGTTTAATTATTTCTCGCTTTTTAGAAGTTATGTAGACTTGTAAACTTTTGTTTAAGCATAATGACATTTCTGTCACTTAGATATGCTTGCTCCCAAATTTCCGCGAATCTTTTTTTCAATCTTCTATTTAGATCTCGTATTTGGTAACTCTTAAATGTCTAATTGCAGGCACATATGTTCCCTGCTAAGCTGCCCTTGTCAAAAGAGTCTGAACGTTACTTTGGGGTGTGCATGGCGTGTAATAGATTCGTCGCTGCTCCGTTCTTATAAAGAGCATTTCATTAACAGGTTATTCTAAACCTTTCTTAGCTCCTCCCCAGATGTAAGGCTGTCTAGGCGTTTCATGTTTGTGTCGTCACATCTTCCTTAACTTATTCGCCTTTACATGTTCATTCCTTTTAGTTTGCTGCCATCGTCGCCATTCTCTTGTGCCTCCAGATTGCCGTGGCTGTATTCGTCTTCGTGTACAAAGACGAGGTACACCCTTATTGCCTTTTCGACCCTCTATACCACTTTTAGTTGATGGAGTTCTTGTCAAATCGTTTCGAAATGGTGTTCAACGATTCTAACGGGGCGCTCAGGGAGCAGATTGAGCGTGATGTAAGTACAGAATTGTCCTTTTGTCTAATTGCTTCCCTTTAGTTGAACTGCTGCGGCTTCAAGAAACCCGAGGGCCACTGTTTACTCACCTTGTTTGTTCGAAAAGTGAGTTCACCCTATCCTCTACTTCAGTGTTTGCATCTGGTAGCACGTGTACTAGACCACCATGTTTCCTCGGAGCTTTTATGCATGACCAAGCCGTTGACGCTTATCGACAGGTTTAAGCCTTGGTCTGCTGGTTTAAAGCACCATTCAATTTTCCACATGGCCCGGCACTGCGGGGCCTGAAATTCCGACGTCGGAAGAGCAGCGTTCTTTGTCAGTTTTCCAAAGGAGCGGATCACCGCAATGGTCGGGCGGGTGTTTGGGGCGATTGTGTCAGCCTTCTCGTGTAGGTTATCATTTTCGTCCGTGTATTGTGTGCGCGCGCACATCCCATGCGATGACTCAAAATCGTGCCTGACTTCGGGACTGTGATACTTCCTACGGAAGTATCGAACGTCGATTTTAGACACCCTGTCGATCTCATTGCTTTGTAGACTGTGCTAATGTGGAGGACCCATCCCCACCGCACGTACTGTTCTAAGTGGCGTCGAAATTTTGAAGGACTGTGTTTTTGCCATAATTCATTTGCTAATTCCTGCTATCTCATTACAGCCGTGTTGGGATGTAATCACTAGTAAGGTGGAGTCGTCAATGTACATCATAATTGCGACAGCCGGGACGTTATGCCTGATCCAAATTGCTGCCATCATAGCTGCCTGCTGTCTACAATCGAAGATTCGGAGCTACACAACTTATTAAACCCCCTTGACGCCTCCCAACTCCCCCACCTACTGTCGATCCCGACTCCCCAACTCCTTCCTGCTTAATATTCACGCCTCCCCGACACGTGCGCGCGCGCGCGCGCGACAACCAACCTGTTAAATCTAGGGCAGCCCTGATTATGTGTCCGAATTTTCCATCTTCATATCCACCGTTGCATTATCGTACACCTCCGAACTTCATGCAGTATTTTTGCATGGTCGTGCGTCATTAAAATTCGTTTAAAACTGTCGGTCGTCGTGCTCTTCCACAAGTGTTGTCATCGCTGAATGCGGTATGCAACTAATGCGGATGAATGCCCTAGCAAGAATTTACCAGCCCCACCTCTGATATCATGACACTAAACTGTCTAACTCAAAAGGCTTTACCTTGCAACGGTCAGTTTAAACATGCGTTCATGAATGGGCGCCTTAATTGCAAGACAGCAGCAGCTAACGATTTAGACCCCTCTGTGATTGCTTCGACGAAGTCTGTTGGCAAAAAACACGAAACCTTTCTCCTCAATTGCCTACGTGATTGGGCCCTCAGCTCGAAAAGCCCAAGGCACCAAGGTCTAAGCATTCTGTCTTCAGTCGCGCTCGTTTGTCATATAATTGTGGTCGAGTTGCGAGTACATGCTGCTCAAATGCATTGTTGAAAGTAGGGACGATTAATGTCATTGCGGGGCGATGCGTCGTCTAGCCTCTCGTAGGGCTGCTGGATTTGGAATGCGGCAGTTGGGGCGAATGTGCATTTTGAGGACTCGATGACGGCCAATCAAGTTATGGCGCTTTTCCAACCTCCGTTTTTATTTCGATGTTTGCCTCCGAATTGCGGCGTTTAGGTTTGATGCCCTCAGGTCACTTCCACCGGCAGCGCTTACTGGTAACCGCTGATTCAACAACAATGGTAATCGTGGAGTGTTTGGTGTGGAATAATGTTAGGAGGAGTGGCGCACATCTGACCTCTTAGCTACATCAACGACTCTGCCAGCGACACTGCGGGTGCATGTCGGTCGGTGGCTTTGAGCAGTTTGCTTGTGGCTGTTCGAAACGCGTGATTTATGCTTTCAGAGGGGAGAAAGTTTAGTTCACGGGAAGCCCCGGCGTTTTATTTTTTAAAAGAAGGAGGAGGTTGCTTGATTGTCCCAGGCTCTAGTCACAGTCGTGTTTAACGTGGAGTTTTCGAAGCATTGCAACCTGCTTCAATGTGAGTTGTTCCAGAGGACCAATTTGGCATCACTTAATGCAAGCGTAAATTAATTTTTAGCACATTAGCACTGATACAAACTATTTGATGTTCCTGAACCAAATCGTAGACAAATTTCTCCCCTTATGACATGGCATAGGTCCGATGACGCCGGGCGCTATTTTTACAACCATATTTGAAACGAAAACGATGGCACTTTTTTGAAATCATGTCTGGGTGTATGCCGCTGCTTTCTATCGGCGGCACAACTGTTGCTTCCCAAGTCAAAAGTCACGTCTGATGTTCCCCGCAATTCGAAGGCTTTATTTACCTTGCTTCTGATCGTGAACTGCTGTAATTGCCAACTGTTTTTGGTTTCAAATAGGTCTGTTTTTAGTTAAACAACCCACGATAATGGTTTGTTCCCTGATGGAACCAAACAAACCTCATTAACCATGCACCCAAATTGATTACCAAGTGGTGCTAGTCTAGATCATATTTTTAACCTTCAGCAGTTGCTGGAGGTTGGGAATCGTGAAAAGCTGATTGGTAAAGATCAGTTCTTCTGGTTACAACGAGCATTCCTGCTGAGCCTTCGTGATGATAGGAGGTTTTTTGTGTATATTCGACAGGTCTTCATTATTTACTCAACGGGAATTAGGGTGCTTTGAAACCTGTCTAACTCCTAGCCTAAGATTACGTTTTCCCTCTGTCCATGGCACTCAGACAAGATGATTGGGAATTTCCCGGTCAATTACAGCGTCCACCTGGTGGGATTCCCAGCTTTTCCGTCTTGTAATCTCTTGGCCCGAAGCGCGACGAAATTCGTCATGGCTTGCTGTATCACGCCACCCCCTCCATAATCATTAAAAAACGTCCAAATCTGCAATTTTGCCCAAAGAAACGGTGGTATACAAATTGCACGCGCTCATGGGCAAATCAGAATTTGGAAGTCGAAGTAACAAATTAGGCTGTGTGTTGATTTTTTGCTTGTCTGTAGTTAGTACCTTTAGCGATCAAGGTCCCAGGGGGTTTCTGTGAGGCGAAGAGTTCTTACTTCGGCTTTCCATTCAACCGAAGCAATATAATTGCAACTATTTCCAGCAAAATTAAGCATGAAATCAACTCAAAACCCTGCCGAATGCTTTTCTGTGTCTACTTCACTGCAGAGAAGTTAGGTACATTTCCGGTGTAGTAAAGGCTAAGCAATGCGCTATTCCTGCAGATCTAACTTGGACGGCAATCGGTAACTTAACAGTGGGAAGTTTGAAGTGGATTTCAATGAAATAAAGAGAATAATCTCGTTTTCTCTAAAACTCCAAACAAAGTTGGCCTCGAACTTTTTTCTGTGTCGAAGTATCGTCGACCTAAACTATTTATGTTAAACACAATGTCTGCAGATCTTATTCCCCAATGTTCTCTCATGTAGTCTTCCAATCAGTGCATAGATGTGCTCTCAAATCTCAAGACTGGGAGCCACATTTTCACCAATAGTCCGCTTGATTTAGGATATTTCATAGCAAAAGTGTTGGGTCACATTTTGCTATTACTCAAGGGAAACCTTATCTCAAGACTGATTTTGCGTAGCACTAAGAGGACCCACGATCAACCATGTCTGCACAGTCTCAAAAACTTCGTCTTCCCCTTGACGACGACTGCGTGTCCACTGTAATAATATGTGGATCAATGACCATGGTAACGTCATGGAGACGGATTGACGCCAAAGCACGCCTGGCACTGGTGCCCTTTGAACGCTGGACCGAAAACTACGGACCAGCATGTGCGCATTTATGCATCGCAAGCAGTTATGCAGTTTAAACTGCGGTTCTGCTTGTGCGAAAATGGCGTTGTTTGAAACTTGCGGGAGAATGTGTCGTCATTACAGGTGCAAAATAGGCTTGCAGTTAGTGGCCACTCTTTGTTTGTGTCGCGATACGCCTGGGTTTTCTGTCAATTTGAGCAAAGGCCTAGCAACCAGACACGCCAACTCCAAAACCGACAACCGGCCCACCGGAAGTGGCAGTCTGATTTGAAAAGTTTGTTTAAGTGTCTGGGCAAGAGCGCAGTTAAACAGCTGCTACACGGATCTAAACGGAATCTTCAATTACGTGTGTTCTTCCTTCTGTGTGGCAAGGCCTTGCTGTTGACACCTCGCGGATGGAGAATTGTGGAACGATGATGGACTTCCACCTGTGTGAATGACGGTAGTTGTCGTTAAAGGTGGCCGGGTCTCTTCTCAAAGGTAAAACAGTGGCCACTGATTACCACAAAATGCAGTCCATGGAGGTTGATTGAGCTAACTAGACAGGTGATTAATGTTTAATGTGTGTTCTACTTTCTTCAGCAAATTTAGTTACTTCGTCTCTCAAAAGTCCTCTGTGGAAAAGTTCTTATCGCGTGGACCTCAACGCAATTCCTGGCATAGTAATGGGGAAGTGTTTTCACTAATTTAACTAAATATATTTCGATACTATAATCATCTGAATGCTCTGGTGGTTCAGGCGTCAAGTCGGCCACGAATTTGTGCAGTTTTTGTAAACACCATTGACTGCACGTCATGTGATGTTCGAAGTACACTTGTCACCTGTTGTTGTCGTTGTAGGCCTTTTACCGACATTGGTAAATACGTGACACTTAGTCGTTGGTGAAACCGGACCCGTCGTGGGCTGTTGTGGCTGTAAGTTTGGCCCCCGAACAGAGTCCGTTTTTCATTTGCCTCTGTAGGCTTTTGTGTCCACGCGGGCATGCACTTCATTGAGTCGTTGATTCTCAGGGCATTATTACATTACTGAACCTCCATCAGTGATGGAGTTGTTCGGACTCACAAAATTTAATCTTATGGGAAAAATTATTTAAATGATCTTCGCCTAAGGAAGATGACCGAGTGAGGTTGCTACTGGTTCTAACGATTTTTATCTACACTCTGTTAAGAGCAGCAGGTAAGAACCCTCTTCCTGAACTGATATATCACGTAACTCTAGAAATCTGTCATGTATTTGCTATAAGGTGACTGTAAGAACAGATCTTGCCAAATGTAGTTACCACGTGCAAATACCACGAAAGACCGAGGTTCCGCCATTTACGGCAAAGACTATTGTAAAAAATAGAAAGGGCGTAGTATTACCCTCAAGGCTGTTCCTTACTTGGAACCAATGTGATTTCTACCCAGCTGCACCGTTCCTTGAAAAGTATGACAGCGACGGGACTAGGTCAAAGTGGACCAAAGCAGGATCGATAGGGTTTCTTGCCAAAATTATGTCGAATCACAACGATATGTCTGGCCCTACACCACACTAGTTAATCACTTGTAACTTCAGTCTCTGCGACTAGGACTGCAACATTCTACCAAAATGGCTATTCCAAAAAAAAGGAGGTCTTGTATAGTGGTGATTTATGTTCTTCCCGTTCAACTGGCCAAAATGCAATTAGCAAAGTTCTGTCAAATGTTGCTGCAGATAGAATAAATTATTAATGAGCTTGAAGTCTGGCTTTGGAGCTGCTGCCTTTTCAAAAACGGTGAAGTCTTGATAAGGTACTGAGATGCGAATGGAAGCCTGCTTTGTAGAACATCGGTAAAATATGCTCGATTTCGATTACCGCATGTTCGGTAGATTGATCATTTGTGTGAATAATACAATAGGACAAAATTCAAATCAGTTATTATGGAAAACAATGTCCATTCTCAGAACAATGAAATTCACTTTCTGCCTCATTTTGAACAATGCAGATATGGTAAGAAGTCGAGAAAATTTAAGTTTCTTGCAAGGCTAACTGACCCACTACCCAGTCTAGCAATCGACTTGATGGTTTAC